TAAAAGCGCGCCGTAAAACGAATCCATCCAATACAACCCCCAGGACCCCCTTAAATGGGTGAAGACCTCAACTCCTCCCAATAGTCAACCCAAACTGACGCCCTTGTTCCCAAGCCCTGGTCCCTAATCAATATCGCATGGCATTTGCAGAGAGGTTGGGTTGATTCAAAATATAAACTACATTTGTTCATTTTTTAATGACCGCTCACGGTTGCACATTCTGTTCTCATCTGAAAAAAATGGATACAGTTGTACTTATCACAATGCTGATCGATCCTCTGCGCCCCGCCCCGCCCGCCCATTTTACTAATCAGTGAAATGTTAGCGTGACGTAAGTCAGTCGGCGGAAATCGAAGGGTTGGGAACCCCAAGTCTAGAAGGATGGGCGCTAGGTGCTTCTTCAGTCACAGTAGGGGCAGCTCCTCCCCCCCTGGTCCGCCGTTCACACCGCCGCTGCTTCTCCTCGGCGTCTCAGCATCCCACCCAAAGTTTGCCCGCGGTGTCAATCATGGCGAATAAAGTGGAAGCGCAGCTCGCGCATTCGCCGCATGGCGCCCAGACGCTGCCGCGCATCCTGCGCTAAGCCCCTCGTTCCGCCGCATTCTGGAAGCCCAGACGGGACAGGTTTCCGTTTCCCCACGGGGAGCTGGTGTCCCGAAACAGGTTGAGCGTGTCCGATGCCTGACGTGGTCTGGACGAGCTTCTGAGGCGTGGGTCAAAGGGTAGCGGAAACCCCAGCACACACCGACGGCGGCAGGGAAAAGAGCCGGAGAGCGAGAGAAAAGGAGAGGGATGTAAAGAGAGTCTCACGGGTGACTCTGCCATTGTGGCAGAGCAAGACAAGCACAGGCAGCAAAAGCACAAACAATATAAGGAAGGAATAATGCTTTATCCTACAGCTGTAGGGCTGTGAATGTGCTCTTTATTGTCATAGTGATTTAAATACAGTAATCTCATTTTCTGCATCAGACTAAGGGGCATGCAGAATAACCCAGAAAAGAAGGCAGAGCAAGGCGGGGGGGAGGGGGGGCACATTTTGCTGTTTTCTTTTTCTGTCAAAGCGCACGGAGGGCTTATTGGGGGTATACTCTCTCAGCGACAAGGGGGGGGGGGGCGCAGAGGGAAATATAGAATTAAATCCAGTGACAAAAAGGGGAGCGGGAAAAATAAATAAAGTGACAATCTGGCTCATTCACCTCTTCTTCCGGTCCACTGGAAAAGTTGATGAAGTTTAAATGAAGCAGAATTAGGAGACAAAGAGCGCAGTGAGCGTCAGTCGTGTCGACACGGCCCCCGCGTGCCGGCCTAGTGGCCCTATAGCATGGGGGGGGGGGGTTGAAGAGGGAAGCTGTGTAGTTCTGAAAGAGGAGGGGGGTTAGGGGGATGAGGCGCCCTAAATGTGATAATCTCCAATCACATCTAACATCAATTCTGACAAGGCTCCTGTTAATGAGCCCAGCCGATGAAGCGTGCCGTGGGTCCCTCTCTGTTGTTGTTCTATGATTTAATCCCTCTCACTTCAGCTGGTTTGAGCTGGGGATCGAGGGGTGGAGAAAGCCCATTAACTAGGCGTCCATGCTCTCGCCTATCTAAATGCTAACGACGTTAGGGGAGAGGGCAGCTAGAGATCAGGCGGGCACAGGGGGGACGTTACGCGATGAGAATGGCATGCTTATTTGGTGCAAAGGCTTATTTGAGAATAGCGATCCCTTTGAGCAGGTGGAGGTAGGGGAAGGTGTTTCAGTCTGTGCCAGGGAAGCTGGTCGCTCATCCAAGAGGGAGGGAGGCTTTAGTGATGCCAAGGGAACAGCGGCACAGACACTGCTCACTGCTCACTGCTCACTGCTCAGACACTCCTCGTAATTGTGCTAGCTTATTTCACACACCTTCCCAAAGGCCAGGCACAATAATCATTTCTGTAATTCCACGATGAAAACAGCTTGTGTCCCAGACCAGGATAAGCAGATGGATGGATGGATGGATGGAAATAGCAAAAGATTGCGGTGCTGCCTGTTCATTTTTCTTTTTCATACTATTTTTCTTCAAGCAAGTTTTTTAGGAAAAACTAGCCATGCAGGAATTTGATTCTTCCTATCAGGGGTAAATAAATTTAGGGATTAGTATGATGTTCTGTAATTATTCATTCGTATGAATTATAATAATGTAAAAAAAAGAAAAAAAGAAACTATTTCAGCTAAAGAAGTGTATTGTAGCATGATATTATACATTTTATATACAGCTATACCAATTTCTAGCAAATTATTTTTACCTGTTTTTCATGCTTGCTTCTGCGTAAATTATTCCTACCCAGTATTTCAGGGTAAGAGTTGCTTGGATCTCTCTTGCTGATAAGCTAGTCATGTGCCATAACCTTTTAGGCTACGGAAAACGCACAATGATATCACTGCTGTCCCTGTGGAACCATTTCCTTTTTCCTTTCAGAAAGCCTTTCATTATATGTTGACTGAGAAAGCAGCAGTAGGTGACATGCAAGCCAGTGATTTATCTAAGCAGTGTGATATTCGGATGTGTTACAAAAAAAAAATCATTCTTGCAAGCACCTCACTATCCCCCCCATTCAGCATTTATCAAATGCAGATCGGACTTGATAGCAGTTGGCCATCTAGCATGGTGTATTTCACTGCACACTGCAGGTTTGTAGGTGCAGTTTCGTCGCCACTGTGCAACAGCGATAATGTAATTCAAAACCCCTTGAAGATACAGGTCACCTTTACTGGGATAAGAGGGAAATATAAGCATATTCACAGCACCAGAGCCAATAAGGGTATGAATAGAACCATCTATTCAAATCACCATCACCAGCAAGAGTAGCAAAAACAATGACATCTTCATTCACATTAACACATACAGACATTACCTGGATCACTCTGGTGATCATTGCATCACACATTATTTTGTATTGGTTCTGAAAATTAAGGGCTGCTTTGATTCTTCATCAAAATAACACAAAATACAGCCCAAAGTGCTCATCCAAAGCACATACTACTGATGTGGTTTTTATGTAGCTCAGGGAAAGCTTTGCCATTCTAAAAAAAAACCCATAAGGAGCCTCCCTCCCTCAACCCCCTAAGCGTCCAGGAAGCGTGTCTGATCAGAGGCAATGGATAAGAGGTGAGGAGACACCACACGATGAGGAACAGGTGCAGAAAGCAGCGAAGGCGGTCTCCCGCAAGCACTCGCACAGACAGGCTTCTCTACGTTATATATGGGCGGGACGCGGCGCCACCTGATGGCGGGTACCATCCTCTGTCTACCGGGTATTTTTAGCCCCATTGATCATTAAACACAGCATTTTCTGGGTCAAACAGTGATACTCGACACTTCAGAGCGAGACACAGGCCCTGAGCCCCATCTTCATTTGCATGGCGGCCATCTGCCATTTCGCAATATGTTTCACTCCAGACTGATGGTATCTGGAATGCAATATGTTTGTATGTGTCAGCCAGTATCAAACCTAATGGACATCAAGCAATACAGCCAGCACTTCCCATTTAGGGCAACACAGAATGAAGGAATGCACAGCAATTGTTTTAAGGTTCCAGGTAACATCTCGGCATTTTAAACTGCACCTAAGCATTTGTTCATGTTTAGTGTTTTCCTGTCAGCCTTGTTGTTCTTAGTGTGTTGCATAGAATGATACTATATTACATTACAAAAGTGTAAAGCTGAGTACAGTGTTAAAACTCTTTTCCTGTTTACATAGCAACACTGCCCTCTAGTGTTGGACACCCAGCTAATGATCAATTAAAGAGGCATATTAAGAGGAGATATTTTGCCTACCTAACTACATTGGTAACGTTTATTGCTAAGGTCACACGTTACAATATTATATTATAAACTGCGACTTAAGTACTGAATATAAGATACTTTAAAGTTTAACTATCTGATGACATTTATTAATGCTTGTTAATACGCAGGCGCGCGCCCCACCATTTAAGATGCCTCAAAACGCGTACAACTTTCCTATAAAAAAATCGTGTTAGCTTATTTGCATGCTAAGGCAGCTACAGTTAAATAGCCTACTGGGTCCGCGTAAAAAATGTAATTAAATAAAAAAAAAAGTGGTCATGTTTAGTCACAAAATTATCTAGCATTATTAACATTTTTAAACCCAGAGCTTATAAAGATAATAAGTTATATAATATTTACCTTTGAAAAATGTCTTATCTAGCTAAACATAGGGGCAACATCAAAGGCCGCAGGTAATATATGCTTGAATTTAGAGCTGAAAGCTGGTTATTTAACTAAACTCAATGCTGAAGGCAAATTCGCACAGTGGACACTGAAAGTATAATACGCGACGTTTGGTTGTTTCCTAGGAACAAGATCTGATGCTTTCGCCATTAGGTGCCATTGTTAATTAAACATTAGGTGCTTGTACAAGTTAAGACTGAAACGCACGTGACGTATTTCAAAAGCGATCCAGTTACAGTCATCAGACCTGAATTTATTTCCCCCAAAGCATGTGGCATCATAATTGTTTTCCTTGCAGCTATACTGAAACTTTTTTTGTTGGCGCACGCACAATGGAGCAATACATTAATAAATTAAAATGAACATAAACAAGAGAACAAAATACATCCATTTCGGCGACTTACTCGTTGTCACCTCATTCAATGCTAATTAATAAAGAAAAAAACACATTTTTCTATGGAGAGAAAGAATATAAAATGCCTTTTTTCTCGCATGAAAAGGTGATATTATCCCTATCTGGTTAGTACTGGCCAAGCGGCGCGCTTGTCCCAGCTTGATGCTTTGTCAATGTACTGTGACTAATCCAGGAGAAACTCCATATCCCTGCTCCTTACCCTAATTAAAAGCGGATTAGCCCGCATGGAGTCCCTGACCACTCCGACTTGAGTAGCCTCCATTCCCCTCGGTTTCCAGGATAATCAGGCCTCAAGGAATGGTGGGGAAGATCATATGCTGGCCTTAAGCCTAAAAAATAGTGCAAGAGTGAACAGAAATAAGTCACTGCCCTTGACTGCGGCTCGATGTGAGAAAGTGAGGTCTGGTGATGTTTAGTGAACTTTTCACTGCAACTTTACAGCATTCTGTGTCCAACAGTTATGAAGCCATCTTCAGAGATGTACGAATATCATCGAATTTTTATTATTTTGCGAAAGGCTTACATTGTTCAACACAATTAATTAACGTACTAATTAACATTTTACAATTATTGTAAAACATGACCAGGTAGGCTATAAGATATAGATTTAGGTAGGTACTGACGTTTTTTTTTTATCATTCTGTATTGAGAATTATGGCAAACATGTCTTGTTCAATAAATACGACTTGTTTATACGCAAAACAGGTAGCTTAACTTCTGGCAATTATCCTACATACACACAACACAATTACTGATTTAATTCATTAATCCAGTTTGACACATTTTCTAAAGAACCTCAAAAGAAAATGTAAAATATCTGTAGTTCCGTCGTGGGTTAGCTTGATTCAGTAACATTAATTTTTAAAGACATTTGAAACACCTCACCTTAGTCTGAAGGTTCAGTTTTCAGGTGGCAGCGCCAAAGATCCGTAGCTGACAGTCTAATTTGAGAGTAATGTATAGTTACTTTTTGTGGATGTATATTTTCTCATTAAAGTAGAAAGTTTTTTTCTTACTAAGTTCATCATATACACAGTTGGTTTGTCTGTGGAAATGTATAGCATCGAAGCAGAAGATGCATGGTCCCCCCTACGCATTTTCCTGGTATGTTCCGTTGTTATAGTATTGAGACACTGGGGCCAATAAAGAAACAATAACTTTCAAGCTCAATGCTTCCAATTCGTTCAATCGCTACGTTTCTAACATAACGAGAAATGTTAGGCTATATTTGTTATATATCATGCATAAAAGATTCATTAATCTTGTACGAGGCCGTTCAATTTTTCAAGATTTTACTTATGAAAATTAGTACAAGTTACTGAGACACCCTTAGAGACCGGATGGTGTGAAACGTTTTCAGATGTCAGTTTAAAATAACATTTCAAATAATTTATTTTCAATTAATAATACTGTACATTAACCAATATTAAAACAATTTAATAAAAAAATAACTTGGATACTTACACTAACTCAATGCAATCCTTAAAAGCAAATTTTAATAAACCCAGGATTCGTGTGGTCGCCAATATTGACATCAGTCAGACGTGATTCTTTAATGACATCCTTTGTATTCTTCGTATATGCAGGTTAATATTTTATAGCTTTTTAAGTAAAACCGCAACGGCGATTTTATGTAATAATTTAACAAATCACACCATTCTTTCAAGTTCGTCTTTTAGTTGTTGTTGTTGTTGTGCTCTACCATGGCAACAGACGACTTCCGGATGATGTGTGTGTTGCGTCGTGTTTCTGCGGCTTCCTTATAGAAGGTATATGCAAGCTAGAGGGGAATCTGTTATCAACAGTGACAATAGTGCATTAAACGTAGATTAAGCACAGCTGTGCCTTAACAATGAACAGGATTGCGGCGCCTAATGTGTCACGTGACTATATCCAAAGCTTAAACCTGAATGGGTCTATTTAAAGGAACGTATTTAAAGGAAAATTAGGTGAAACATACACATGTTTAAGAATTTAAAAACGGAATAAAACTTTAACACCATACAATTGAATTGCGTGTCACCAAGTTCATCTAATAAAATAGTTTTATCCTAATGAGTAAAGCGGTGTAGCCATTAGATTAACTGACTTTTCTAAATTGCCCATAGTGTATGGTAGTTTGTATGTTTCTGCGTTTATGTCAAAGGTGGGGGACCTGATCCATGGAGGGCCGGTGTGGGTGCTGATTTTTGGGATGGCCTCTCAATCAGCCAATAACAGTGGGTCCCCAGGACCGGAGTTGAGACTCACTGCTTTATTATTGGCTGATTGAGAGGTCATCCAAAAACCCAGCACTGGCCCTCCAGGGAATAGGCTCCCCACCCCTGGTATATGTGCTGCCATGCGATGGTATTTGGTCCCAGTGCTGCATTTCCTGGTGTGAGTTTCAGGCTCACCAACACTGTACTTTAGATGGACGAGTAGATTTACTCAATCAGAAATTGCTTATAGCCTAATAAAGAACAGAATTCTGTTTTAATTACAGCTTCATGAAGGCCTTGCTTAGCTGAATGCAACACTCATGTCGCAGAAAGGTGACAGAGAATTCAGATTTGACCTCAATTATTAGTAATCGCATAAGTTTCTTACTATGATTCATACTTGATGAATGATCAATAATTCGCTTAGTTTAGTAGTAAACGTGCATAGCATCCCTAAAAAATTCAGGTAAAGTCGCAGACACAAGTTACATATTTCACATCATTTGCATAACATGAAAATTGACCTATTACACTTCATTTATAAAACTTACACTATAAAATTAATTCAGTTATGTACTTTAACACATGAGCTGATTCATATAAGGGTAAAATGACTTGAATTGAACAAGAAGCTCTGACAGATTTCAGTACAAGTAACACTAGCCACCTGACTGTTCCTCTGGATTCACCCCCATTCTCACAGGCAGACTGGGAAAAACAGCAGGACAAGCCAATGGAATCCTATAAATATGAATATTGCACATGGTCCAGTGGTTACGCCTTATAATTACATAGAGAAGTTAAATAAGATACATAGTCTGCTGTGTATCAGTTAGAACCAGTGTAGTTTTTCTGAATATCTGTTAGCAGGGATTCCAGGATCTGCTGAGAATCCACTGCAGGTGTCCCAAAATGCAGAAGTATTATAGCATTTAATCAGTCAAAATGCATTTATGTTACACCTCTCCTTGTGTCCCTGCAGTGGCTCCAGCGGCGCTTGCATGAAGTTGTAGATGTTTGCCAGCATCAATATAACAGCACCTACATTAAGTCACTCACCAGGGCCTGGTTTCCAACCCGCCTGCTACAATCAGCATGTGATTGGTACATGGTAATTCTTCCACTATGTGGAAAAAGTCTCATACTAAACATGTTAAATATGCCATTTCTGGATGGCAGAACAAGCTACCCAAATCCAACTGATCTGGAGAGTCCCCCACAGCCCTCTGTCGCTTTCAGGAACACCTCAACATCGAGCTAACATCATCCCCTGCCGTTGACTCTTACTTATTCACTGTTGATGCCTGTGAAGTTGCTTGCTTGGTACTTCCAGACACCTATCTGTGTATTTATATTCCACATGGACTTCGATCCTCCATCCATCCACCTGTTTTCATGTCCTATAGTTTCTTAAAATATGCATTATGTTGCATACTAGTTTGGGGTAAAGGAAGCTCCTTTAAGGTTGCAATTGGACTCTTGATAGTGCACCCAGTTTTTTGGCTTTTCTTTTTGGCTCATCAGCTTGGAAGCAGGGTTGCCAACTCTCACGTTGAGAGTGACACTCACGCTTTCAGACTCGTACCTTCAGGCAGGGAATCTAATGGCAAATCTATATTATTCCATTATAAACCTAAAATTAGCTACATCAAAAGCATAGAAGTAGTTTGCAAACCCTAAAGCCCATTTACAAGGTATAAACTATCACATACATGTAAATGTGTGTGAATGTGTGTGCAGACTTGTATTGAATTGAAAATCTCACACCCTGTGGAGGGATGTTCTGACCTTTGCATTATCCTGATGGTGCTGCATTACTTTTACCGATGATCTGTACACCATTCCGTGATCTTTGAGATTACAGTTTTACTACTCCCCTGATCTGTACCTTTCTGAAATGTTTTTAACAATCCTTTGATAGTTATTCTTTTTGATCTTTGTGAATTATACAGGAATTATCGATTTTATATTGTGTTAAACATAATCACTTCAGTTTGCATTGGTAAACTCGTATATCTTTTGAACATAACCTGGAATATCAGTTAAATCTGAACTCAGTTACAACCTCTCTTTGTAACGGGCACACGCACGTATGCAACCAAAGCACTGAATGTCTTTTGGCATTATTTTTTACGAAAAATGATTCGGTTTTACAGAATCATATTGATTATGAACGGGTCTTACATGATTTGTCTTGGTTTTATCTGATGCCAGTAAGGTTTTACTATATGTATAGTAAATATATATATATATATATATATATATATATATATATATATATA